CTTTTCTAAAACAGCTTTCAATCCCTTGTAAACGTTGTACTTACCTCAATATTGGTTGGTTATCGTATGCCGACAACCACGGGATGAAAACGAAACGAAGTCGATTTTCCCGCTCAACCTGGAGGACAATTGTACAATTCAATAACTATACAGCCTAGTTCAGACAATGTGTATTTATATATATATCAAATATTTAACTGTTGAAACATTATTAACTTGTAGACAATCTACGATTTGATATTATATCATACTTGATCGTGCCTGTAAAAATGGCATGCATTTTCATGTAAATTTATATGTTTATATGAGAATATATATATTATTATTATGAGTAGTGCGGCTTCGAACCTGTAGGCTGCATGATGTAAGTTACACCCTTTGTGATGAAAACTTGTCATGTGTAACGGTGGAGTGCGGCTTTGGTCTAATTTCAACGAAAAATTGGACGTGAGCGTGATTGCACGGGGATGTGGTGAGGGCATGTGCAGTTACACACTTTAAGTAAAGAGAGGTGCACCCACTCCCGAGCCTTTTCCGAGGTTAAACAATGCATACGTAAGACCACACCTTTATGTACACAATATCTTTGCCCCTCTGCTATTCGCAAGAGGCACTAACATTTTGGAAAGTGTCTGAAGTGGTGATTGGCCTTCGAAAGAAAGCATATAATAAATGACTGGTGAAATTAGGGCTTTCACACTTAGTTGCCGTCGGTTTAGGCGTGATATGATTACAAATGGCCAGAATCACCCAAACAATGTTTTTCCGCCATTAAGTGCGTGTAGATTTCCTCTTGCCAATCCACGAAGGACAGCTCACCAGACAGCAAAGACGCGAGTACTCTCCCATTTCTTCGAATCTTCTACCCGTGGAAATCTCCACGGCAGGATGCGGCCACTATACGTGTATGGAAAGCTTTCACTGGAGGCTGGATAGTCATGCAGTAACACAAAGACTGCCTCCAAACGGCTTATCCCTTTAAAATTCACACTATTAATGAGTATTCACCTTAACCCATCCTTTTCCTTCCGCCCGTTCTCTAACGTCTTACCATTCCGATTACAGTATATATTCATTCCTTTATGTCGTTATCATCGGTATTGATCTACACTGTTTGGAAACAAGCTGTAATAAAATTTTAAAAAATTATATATATGTATATATGTAGGTTTCAAATTTTATAATTGATCTGTTTTTCGATCTTTTTTCTGTTTTTAAGTCCACACGGTCTACACTGATTACGTCTAAAATTATTTTTGTCTCTCTTTTAGACTACATTAGGTGATCAACGTGTGGAGCGGTTAACTCCATTCACAGAAGTCACTCGGTCTTAGCACCTGGCATACTACAAACTGCATGTCTACAGTACTGAAAAATAATTAATCGCAACACCACCCCATTAGGAGTCAACCAAAGCTACAGCAGCCGTGTAGTTGGATGAAAGGTAGGGAACTTTAACTTACATTCAAGAAGCGAACACGAAGAAATCAATTTAGTCTACATTGCGCAGGAAACAGACATTGGATGTTGAACTACATTTGCAAATATGTTGTGATAATAGATTTGTGGATTAATCACTTAGTGCCGAATTGGCGGATAAAAAGATTCTTTCAGTGGATGATAACTTCCTCTCCATGAATTCCAGAAACTACTACTTTACAACTGATGTACAAATGTGCGAGGACCGAGCCCAAGCCCACGGTTAGTAGATCAAATTGTGTAATCCTCTTTAACGTACCAGACTGTAGCAGTAGTCTGCTGAAAGATAGGGCCCTATTTGATCAGGAACAGTGGTCCATCTTGTGCAGCACACTGGGTTTGGACATCCAACCGGTAAATCTATGCAGATTGTACAAGGGCACTGCTGCACCTGAAGGCAAACCATCCCCACTGAGGGTAACATTGGGCTCTACTGAGGATGTTGAAAAAGTGTTACTGGCTTCTCAAGTCCTTTCTATAGGGAGGGCCTGTAACATACGCGTTAAGCCAGACAGGCCGTGGAAGGAAAGACAAATGGCGAGGGAGTCGCCAGAGCTCATTCCTTCTGCCTCCATGGTTGTGCATGGCATTCCCGAACTGGTAACTGGGAACGCCTGCGAAAAGCATTGTCATGATGTACAACAATGGAGATGGTTGGCATCCCAGATGGCCCTGGGAGTTCAGGGGCTGTCTCTATTTATAGACTGCCTCGACCCACTCATCTTATGTCAATTAACTCGCCACGTCTGTTAGCTGTCAAGTTCAGCTCCCAAGACCAGTTGAATACCGCTCTCCATAGATGGTACGAGACCAAGGACAAGGTCAGCAAACACATTCGCTGCTGCGAGAGCCGGCCTCGCACTCAAAGGAGAGAACAAAGCGTAGTAAAAAAATCCTCAACCCCTAGTCACACTACAGCGGTGCAGCACGGACGATGATAGCCAGTGTCATCCGAGTGCTCCGACTGAACTAGAAGAAAAAAACGCCAACAGGCCGGTTCCTGGGGAATCGGCCAACTAGTTCGTAGGATAACCCCTCAACCGATAGCCAATATCAAGTCAACTACCCCCCAATACGGGGAAGTGGTGAGACTGACTACCAGTTGCCTGTACAGTAATGTGAGAGGGCTAAGAGGCAAAATAGCTGAACTTAGACACCTACAATCACAACTGAACTCCAAAATCATAATACTGACGGAAACCTGGCTAACCCCTACGGTGGCAGACAGCGAAGTCAGTATAAATGATATGGTCCTAGTCAGGCGAGATAGGGACCTGAAAGAAGGAGGTGGAGTCGCCATATACGTCGACAAACAGCTCAGATGTGTTCACGCGATGGACCCTCCCCTCACAGAGCTCCCTGACTCCATATGGTGCCACTTCACCGTTGGGTACTGCAAATATCTAGTGGGCAGCATTTATCGATCACCTTCATGTGGAGCAGACCACAACCAGGTACTGCTAAATACAATCTCAGCAACTCAAGACATGGGTTATGATCAAATTGTCATAGCTGGTGACTTCAATGCCCCATCTCTTAACTTGGTGTCGGGAAAAGCCCATGATAGATTTGATCGAAATCTGCTGCATACCATCAGGAAGGCTGGATTCACTGAAAATGTCAAGATGGATACTAGATGGAAAGTCTTCTAGACTGGATTACGTGCTCACTAGTGACCAGCTACTAGTGGAAAACGTTCAGATCACGACTCCCATAGGTAGTAGTGACCACGCGGTCATAGTATTCGACATAGTCCTCCGCGAGCGCTTACAGTGGGACAATACACAGCCCTATCTGTGTTATAACAAAGCCAACTACACCAAAATGCGAAGACTTCTGTCTGAAGCAAATTGGCCTAAAAAATGGACAGAGCTAACAGTAGAAGAACACTGGAGAGTGGTAAAGGAGATCATTCACCAGGCGGTCTCAGACACTGTTCCTTTAGTCTCACCAAAAGCTAGGAAGCAACGATCATGGCTAAAAAGGGGGACACAACGCCTTCTGCAGGCAAGCGAAAAGCCTGGTTTGCGTGGCGACGATCGAAGAGTCAACCCGAACATGAAGTGTACCTTGAACTCAGGAATCGATGTAACATACGAGTCCGGAGCGATAGAAGGACATTTCAGGGAGACCTCGCCAATAAGCTTCTCGTGAACCCCAAAAGCCTATACAGGTTTATGGCCGAAAGAAAACCGACCAACCAGGGAGCATGCAATCTAGTGGGTTCTGATGGGAAATCTCTTACTAGTCTTGAAATGGCAGAGACATTCAGCCTAGCCTTTCACAGGCAACTAAATAGTAACGAGGATATTACCCCACAGAACATCCAGATTACATCGCAAAACCAACACGCGAAAACCTGCTGGGTACATTTCAAATTACCCCGGCTATGGTACTTGCAAAATTGGGAAGGTTGGCTTCGGGAAAGTCTTCAGGTTGTGATGACATCAGACCATCTGTCCTGAAGCAGTGTTCAGAAAGTCTCTGCCAACCCCTAAGTGATCTGTTCCAACACTCCCTTGATGTAGGGAAACTTCCATGTGAATGGAAACGAGCAATCCTATCCCCTATCTTCAAGGGTGGTGACCGGCAGAATGTGACCAGTTACAGACCAGTTGCTCTACTTCCAGTGATATCGAAGATATTGGAAAGTCTCATTGACGACCACATGAGAAAATACTTCGATGGGACTAACCTTCTTCACGAAGCACAGCACGGTTTCAGGAGGGGAAGATCCTGCGTGACGAATCTTCTACTAGCTTGGAACGATTGGACACTATCCTGGGACAAAAAGGTACCAGCCCACGTGATCTTTCTCGACTTTGCGAAAGCATTCGACACAGTTCACCATGGTCTGCTCCTTCACAAAATAAGCAAGGCGGGTGTTTCTGGAGCACTTCTCGCATGGCTGACAGATTACTTAGGCGAGAGAGAATTCTGCACCAAAGTCAACCGCATCCGATCATCCTGGCACACCTCGGCATCAGGGTTCCTCAGGGTTCTATCCTAGGGCCGTTGATGTTTTTGATTTCTATTTTTTACGTCTACCAGATCCTAAATGACCAGGCCCACCCAAATAAAAGCATCCTGCCAATAAGTGACTATAGGCTTCCACGAGGTAACCCGCTAAGGATAGCACACCAGAGACCAAAGACTCTAGTGCGATCACATTTCTTTTCGCTTCGTGTTTTCCGTCTCTGGAACGCTTTACCGGCGGCCGTGACTACAGCGCCTTCTCTGGAGATTTTTAAGCGGAAGCTAGACAATCATGCAGAAATGCAAGGTTTGTGTCTCAATGGCTTATCCTCATAAAAATTGAAACCACACTGTCAATGGATAAGCGTACAAACTAATACCCCACAACCTATTCTGCCTTCTCTCACTCTATCTTTTCCTTAGATCACCCTTATTATTCCACTTATCTCAACCTATATTATCTACACTACAACCCATTATTTTTATTCTTATTATTATTACTACTATTCTGCTTTTTATGACTACACCGAATGACCAACGGGAGTTAGGTCAAACTCCATTCACGGTAGCAATACAGTCCTAACATACTGCATACTACAAACCACATCTCGACCAATCCCCGCACCACTCCTCCTGGAGTCTACCAGAGCTAAAGCAGTCGAGTGGCGGGAGTTACTACGCAGAATCTCACCGAAGATCTGGAACCTCTACCTCACAATCAAGGAGCGAGCTCGAAGAAATCACTGGTTTATACTAGCTCGTAATCAGGATATTGGATATTGAAGTTCTAAAACAACAATTTGGTTCGACATTTTAAATGTGGTAGTGGGATATCGCGAAAAAGACACACTTTCCAGAGCTATGTCATTTAATATTGAATACGCTAGAGAGCTCCGAGCAATCTTCAAAATTCTGGAAATTTGCATGGGACTGGCTCTAATTGTTTCCATTGCGGTAGTGGGTCACTATCGAATCACCCCAGTAGGCGGTTGGTTACTATTTGTTACAACAGTCACAACGGCCACATCAATATTCTTCTTTTTCCTTCACCTCTCTGGACTTATTTCCAAGTGTTCCGGTCCAATTACACTGATTGTGAGTTGGAAACTGAATAAGTTTCTTTTTGAACGTTTATGTTTATGAATAATTCACTTATAAGTGAATTACTATAATGCTAAAATGAATCTTGCTAATTCTGAAATAACTTTAACATTCTATGGTGAGTAACTTCTGAATCTGTTGTGAAACAGTTACTTTAAGCTCACAGAGTAGAACTCACTGCTGGTTTTTAGCGTGACTAGCACTAATTCCGCACCCTGTTGTTTTTACAGTCATATTCAGGAATAGATCAGAACCTACTGGCTTTGCTCACCAGCGTTGTTTCAGCCCTCACAAGACATATTAAGCACTGACTAACGTTACCCGAAATGATAATCTTACTTTTAAGATTTTTTTCGCACTAATTAAACACGACCAGCATTATTTCAGCACATACTAGGTAGATAAAATATTCATTTACCATAAAAAGGCATTTTTGACGCATGGGTTAAGATAAGTTTAGAATTGTTGTAGGCCTGGTTTGTTAGATTCTAACTTATGACTCATGTAAAAAGTGTAAAAACATGGTTAGTTGGAAGCAGTAGTAGATGACTGATTTGATTTCTGTAAAGACAAAGAGACTTGACTTGCAGGGTGGACATTAATTCTGGTAGTGAGTTGCAATTCAACGCACTGCAAAGTTAAAGATTATAACCAGTATAAGGATCTAGTATCCAATATCGTTTTTACGAGGTGGTGTATACTAATTAGATTTCCTTGTGCTCGCTTCTTGCCTGTGAGTTAAAGTTTCCTGGTCTTCAGTTAAACTTCTGCTTAATTCGTCCTGCCACTCGACTGTTGTAGCTTTGGTTAACTCCAAAATTAACAGAATGTGAATCTGATAAACGTCTCATGTGGTATCGAAACCGCAAAATATTGCAATGAAAACGATGCCATGTCACTTGGATCTTCGTCTTTACCGTAGGAGTGTGATGCAAGTACTTCCGCTCTGCGCAAACCTAGGCTCTTCATCGGCATCATCAAGACTATATCATGTGGAAACACTAGGAATAAAATACAAAACGTGATAGTTTGAGGCTAGTTCTAAGAGTTCTGTACATAGCATCTGAATGATGTAACTGATACGATAGATACACTTAGTATGAATTAGAATATTTATTTCAGAGGAAATACACCTTTTTACTTGAGTTGATTTACTTGTTGGGTTTTTATAGATGATATGCTTTTACGGAAGCTGCCTAAGAACTCTTGAAGTCGTTAAAGAAAGACCCTGTGTGTATAAATTAGATAAATCAATTTTAAATTGTCTAAACATATCATCCGAAATAATTTCAGTGCTCCTTTAAAGATGTAATACAAGTTACATATGAACTACATATTTAAATTTATATTTTTGTTAGCTGCTTGTCTTATACCCTTTCGAAAGGCGGAAATGGAACTGAAATAAATCTGTTCTGAGGATTATTTGTATCCTCACGTGTTGACTTTTGTATTCTCTCTCAAAGATATCGCTCTAATTTCTAGTTCAATGCATTCATTTATCTTTATGACATCACTAAATTCATTGAACTTCTCTGGGTTGCTTATCTAATAATGGCTATTGTATTTACCGTGGATTTTTAAATTAAATCTCACTGAAGAGCAAGTTTTGAGTACTACAATTTATTAGTGATTCTCCTTGTAAATTTCAAAAAAGCTGATTAATATACAAAGACTATTCTTTTAGACATGAGAATGTGAATGCATAAACTGAGGGTGAAGTTATCGAAAAGCATATTCTTTGCTCACTAATCAGCATTTTGAGACTTTTAAATAGTCATATGTTCATGCAGCCTTGAAAACAGGATATATGATTTTTGTAAAGATGGTCAATCCTTCTGTTTAGGCAAACTCATATACAAACTGATTACTCTAATAAGACTTAATCATTCGAAGCCTAAGAAGTAAATAAACATTCGACAATGCTGTTATAAATTCAGTTTAATCGAAATCATTGCACTATAAAATACGGAATTCATACTTTCTTTGACATGTGCTAAGTTACTAGTGCTAGAAAGAACAAAATGCACTTATCTACAGAATACGTTTGTTGGTACTTTAAAAGTCTTTAAAAGCAAATAATTTGTTTTATTATTTTACAACTCAGTGAACTAAACTAGTGAGATTTTTGTTGGCCTTCTGGAAAATGAATTTATAAGATGCCGATAAATAATCCTGACGTTTAGACAACTTGTCATTGACTTTGACTACCACTCAATCACTATTTATTATTATGTTTAGTGTTAAGACATAAATGGAGATCTAAGACAAATTTTACCTGTCCATATGTATATATATAGTAGAGCAGCAGCAGTAATACATCACAGGTTGCCACTGCAAAATCCATGCCTTATCAGTCCCATAATAATTTACAACTAATTTTTCAGGTCTAAACAGTTAATCTGATAGTTATTTCATGCTATGGATCCCTCTCGACATAAGTTTCAGTCAATCTCCTGAAAGGTGATTTCTAATTTTTGTAAGAAGTATTTCATTTAAAAAATATTAGGTAACCTCACATAGCCACACGAAGTGACCGCTTTATTTACCACTGTACCGATGATTAAAATAAGTGACATAACTTTTCAATAGAGATATCCGTTACAACTACCTAAAGTAGAGATAAGTCAGGTGTTACTTCGTTGCATGAAGGATATTCAATTTCAACTTAATAACCTACTTTTTAACCGCTTGGAAATACGGAGATAGTTTCGTCCTTAGAATCTATCCTGTTTGAAACCTTCAGTAGATTTCTGAAACGGATACACCAATGCCCGGTTATTGTAGAAACTATGTGAATCATGCATCTCAATCGTTTGACAGTCTCAGCGAAATCGATTCTAAATTTGGATATAACTTACTATATGACCGCGATACGTGGTTTAATTTTTCGCATTTCATTGTGAGAAGAAATAGTGGTAGCATTCGGAAGGTTGTTCATAGGAAAGATACTTAGTCTGAACGGTGACTTCACCAAAATAGCTTTTAACTTACACTAAATCCTCGTGAATTAGTGAGGATACTATGAAAGACCTAGAAACCTGTTTTTTTAAACGAAGTGACAGAATTATCAGGTATTGCTGAAAATGTCGTACAGTAGATGGATATCTCGGAGGATTCATTTTGAAGTGTTAAAAAGAGAATATATGAGATAAAAATACTTCAATTATTTGACAGCGACTTATTCATACTGTTAGATTTTAATATAATCACGTAGTCAACTGGCCACTATAGTTGAATGTCATGGTCTCATGTTTGCACACAAAGCGAAAGTCCTGATTTTCAGTAGCTGTCTAGCTAATATAATATCATAACCATTTTCACTTTAAGACAAAATTATACCTCACAAAAATTGTAAGGAGAATAGATTTAATATCAGTAAAAAGTTTGAGCATTGTGGATTAGATCAAATAAAGTATAATTATATTTTAATAGTTTACACACAATGATAAGTTTTGTTATTGGTAATATTTCGAGCAAAATTACTGCCCGTGTTCACACCACTGTTGGAATTGTTTTATTCACACATTTATGATTTGTACTCATATTTATAGTTCATTATTATTATTTTGTTCATTCATGTTTTGTGTGTGCATATGTGTGTTCAGAATTATACTCCACATTCATTCATGTGTTTGTATTTAGAATTATATTCCAAGTTGTTGATAGTTGTACTGAGTCACCCTTGTTACATGTATCCGGTGTGACTTTAATGAATATCGATTCTGTTATGAGTCTTTCTTTCCATTTGTTCATGTTTGTTTTTAGAATACACACATTGTCCCAATCGATATTGTGGTTTTTGTTCCATGCATGTGCAGCTATAGATATATAATTATACTTTATTTGAGAATAGATTTCTTACCTTTAGACAGTAAAAATAACTTCGCATTAATTGAGTAAAGAACACCCTTTTCAATAATTTCCTCTTCCGGCTCTACAGTTATAGATATATATGTAGGGGACTAATATTAGAGTTCACTAACATTCCAAGTATAAAAGTAATAATCCAAGTCAGTGGAGTGTTAAATCACAATATATTACCAAAAATACAGTGACGAGTTATAGTAACAAAAAGGATTACTTGGTTATAAAGTGTAAGTCCTCGGCTACAAATTAATTATATAATCCACAGGCACGTTAACTGTTTGGACTGCGTCTGCTGTAGCTGCTGTGTTCCGGTTGTAGAAATGTCTTCGGTTGAAAGTAGTAGGCTCCTACAATAAATCCGAAGTATACAACACGGTGTGAGTGGAGCAAGTAAGCAGAAGTGACCAGGGAGAAGACGAAGTCTCCAACAGCAGAGTGTATTTTTCAATTGTACACGGAAGTTATGTATATTTCAACAAGAAGCGATTTAAACAAAAATTATGTACAATATCTCGAATTTATACAAGTAACCAAAAAGTGTACAATCACATTGTTACGTACTCAACATATATATATATATATATGTTTACATACATAGAATATTCTAGAATGTGCTTAGGTGGCACAGTGGTTAGGACTCTCACCGACCATGCACACGGTCCCGGGTTCGATCTCCTACCGACGCACACTTGACATCAATGGTCGGCCTGCAAAATTTGGGCTACCGGTATCACATGCTGAAAATTCCATACTTGTAACAAAAATAGGGTGTGGTTTCAAGCCATAATAAAAAAATAACAATATTAGTATTTTTTAAGTAATATCGATCTGTAGAGTTAGATCGATGCAATTGCAGTTCAATAAAAATGTTTAAATTATAGCAATAATAGTAAAGATATAGTAGCAAATAGAATATCAACTAAAATTATGAAATTTCCACAAAAATTCAGGATCATTCAAACCTGGATGGCCAAAGTAAGGATAATGTCTGAACTAACTTCGTTTGGATGCACAAATTAGGCTTCTTAATCTGGATCCTAACAGTCTTAACAACATTAAGTAGTAGAACTCTTAAGGCGAAATTGACATTTGTTGGTATGCGGTAAATGACCCTGAACGCCTGGTTA